ATTGTTCCAAATAAAATTAACAAGATACTCGAACTAAAAGCATTCATTATAATACAAATTAGAGTGTAAGATACTCACATCACTGCCTGGTACGAATGTCATTGTGTTCTCACTTTTGATTGTTCAGCTAAAAGAACCTAAAAGCAACAAAGCAAACAAATAGTCAAGTCTAAGTCAATCAGACATTCTGATTTATCTAACAAAAATTACTATGAACAAGTTCAAAACACAGAGAGAGAGTTATAAAGCCAAATATAACTCACCAAGAATAGCATAAGTATAAGGAACAGATTATAATACTCTGCATATATTCATAGTGTATAAACAAAATATAAAGCCAAACAGGCAAATCTATTACTCCAAACGTACATACTTTAGAGGTGAAACAATAATGGAAGTTGGTAATACAGTACATGGAAAGAAAGGAAGCAAAAAACAATGAACTTTGACACAACTATCTCATTCTCTTGTCTTCTCTTACTTTTATGCTAATTTACGATTGTCTCTTCTTTAGGAACAATAAGAATCTCTATGCTAATTGACTTGATTAACCATTATCCTCACAAGAACAAACTTCAACACACATCAACAAAACCTAGAACAAACCTCTACACACATAAAGAGTGTATAATCAAAATTTTGAAAACCCATAACAAATCTCTATACACAGACCAACAAAACCCAGAACAAACCTCTACACACACACCAACAAAACCCAGAACAAAACTCTACACACACAAAGAATGCATAATNAAAAATTTGAAAACCCAGAACAAACCTCTACACAAAACTATTTAACGATATAAACATCGAAATCCTTCAAATATATGGAAGATAGTGAAGTGTAGAAGAAGGCTAAAAAGAGATATTATCTTTAGCTGCCGAGGAAGAAGATGGTGATATTTTCAAGTCTAGATTCCATTTTCGTCAAATTCGAAGATTCTTCGTCGATAAATCGTGATTCTTCCTCTGAGAATCGATCGAAGATATCGTAAGACAGAGATTCTAGGTCGAATCTATGGTGATTTGAGAATTTAGGGTTTATGATTTGAGAACTTGGTTCTGTGTCGATATAATTTATGGGTAGGGTATATTGTAGTTATTGAATTTATATGAGGTTATTTTAGACTTTTACAACTTTGGATGAGTATTAGTGCATCCAGACTCTGATATTAAACGCATTCAAAATTTATGGTTTTTCAGATGAGTATTAAATGTGTATCCAGATACAGTAATCAGTTTATGTGCTTAATTATAAATAACTGGAATCTGTATACAGATACAGTAAATAGTCATTAAACGAACAATAACTGGAATCTGTATCGAGAAACACTTGCACACCAAACGAACAGCCTTAGTCTCACAAATAATAAATAACAACAATTGGTCTAGTAATATTTTTTAAAAAAATACATTTGAATTTGTTACCATTAATTCATTTTTTTCAGCATGTATTTCATTGAATTTCAATTTCTATGGTGATACAATGACGATATTAATACAAACTACTATACTACATATCATGTTTGCAAAAGCGGTTTTTGGCACTGAGGCAAGTGAGACAATTGAGCACGTTCGAGAGGAAACATTGACAGAAACAGAAAAAGATGGGAAAGAAAAACAAATAATATTTCAAATGCACACACTTTGTGGGATTACAAGAAGACCACTCCCATAAAATAATCATCTAAAACAGACCAAATGAATTGAGAATTATCCTCTTAACCAGATATCAACTAAGTGGTAGAAAGCTAGAAAGAAAACACTTGCTACGTTTTGGTGAAAAAGATCCACACCAAGAAGGATAAAAGAGAAGAAAAAAAAACTCCTAAGTAGCTAAAGATCAACAAGCAAAACACTAATGTTGTCAACAGAAGAAGATTGGTTCCTTCATCCTCATAGGCCAAACTACATCATGATCAGGCTACGTCGTCAAGAAAGTCCAGAGCTTCTTACCAATGGAGACTTTCCCAGGATGTTCTGATTCCGACTCATATTCTTCACCATCATACTCATTTCCAGAGTCGGCCCTTTGAGGTGTTTTGTTCACATCTTCACTCATTGCTACACTCTCGCCTGTTCTTTTAGGTGAACCAGCATCTGTATCCTCAGAGTCTGCCATGGTTTCACACTACATATCGAAACAAAACAGGTTTGTTACGGAAGGAAAATCAAAAAGAGAAGGGAAAACAAAATGCAGCTAGGTTGTGAGAGCATTTTACCTGCACCACATTCGTGCTTACTCCATTATCGCTAACAGCAACACCTACTGATGCTGTGGCAGTTGTTTGAGCACAGTAAATCTCCTCCTCTTGTTGCACTCCACCTGTCTCTTCATTCTTCTTACCAAGTGTGATTTCTCCAGCTCCCCTAATAACCCAAAGCGGTGAAAACAGTTATTAACAGCCTTTGACTAAAAAGAAAAATAAGCAGCTCCAACGCATTATCCTCAGCGGATGTGTTTGAAAGCAAATGGGATTTGAAGTAACCTTCTAGGTCGCCGGAGATTATATCTCTGTCCCACCACACCTTGTTCTGTTGCAACCTTTTGCCGCCTCTTCCCTCGCTGGCGTGCTCCTCCTGTGACACTATCTGATTTTCCATCACTCTCATTATCATCATCCTGCTCAGTAGTACAAGTTTTCAAAGAACCCACACGGCCACGCTTCCGTCCAATCTTTGAAATTCCTTTATCAGGACGACCAGGTTCACCCATGCTTCCATCATTTGCTACAGCAGAGTCATCAACATTTTCTCTAGAATCATCAGGCTCATTAAATTCTAAAGATTTTCCATAGATAGCTTCAGCCTCTTCGACAACAGCTTTGATAGTGCGTGTTCTTTTGACTCTGGCTTTCCCTCTCAAGCGTGATTGTGGTTGACCATCAACATTTAGATTGGACAAAGACTCTGCAGCAACTTCTTGAGCCCTGCTGTTGATGTTACTTTGATCACCGTCTGAGTTTACATTGGTGACCTCAACTTCTCTTGTGTCAGTTTCAGATTGGGCCCTTTGACCATTAAAGGAAACATTTGTTGCTGCCTGAAGCATAGTTGATGGCCCACTGTTCACGTTAGCTTGCTCAGTAGATTGAGGTTCTTGATCA